TAAAGCATTGTCCTCCTTTCTTCAGTTTATATTGAAATTGTTATTTAGATTTGTTTAACTATATTGAGGAATAAAGTTAAGGATATTGAGGATATATTGATGATATATTGAGGATATATTGGCTATATTGAGGATATTTTAAGTATTTAGCTCAAGTTTTGAATAATAATAGATGGAATGTCGTAGCAGTACCTAAAAAGAGGTTAAATAAATTGTCTCTGACAATATTTACGTGAACATCCGGTGGTGTAATCTTTATAAACCGATTGTTCTACCATGCAGTTTTAAATTATAATTGAATTTTCCAATGTGTACTAGGTGTCCTGTAAAGCATTATTGATTTGAAAACAAAAATGTGAATTCAATAACACATATTATTGGAGAGGTATTAAAATATTTTTATGGAAATGGTGACATATTTCTTCGATTTTTATTAGATAATAAGTTTTATTTTTTTGTCTAGCAAGGATGAAATATGAAAATCACCGACTATGTATGGTTTTTTAAAGACATTTCTTAAGTAGGGTATAAGTTATCACCCTTGGTACAATGAGAAGACTTGGACCCAGGACCGATGTACTTTTCATTTTGTTGTTCCCAAAAGAAAAAAAAATATCTAAATTTTTATTTAAATTTTTATTTATATGCCAAAAGCATGATAACTCACGGAAAAATTATCCGACTTTATTTAAATGTAGTAAAAATGTGTAAGCCAATATACATTTTAATCGACTTTAATTTTCTTTTAAGACCACATAAATATACTAGGTAAAATACATGAAATCACGAGTATTTTGTTATCAAAGATCCAAAGGTAACGCCGTGTTTCTTGAGTCACGCAAACTGTAACGGGATCGTTTTATCCGCCAGTCACTTTACATTGTTCAGGAAACTCTTCAACTTATTTTAAATTTCTCGTTCATAATTTTTTCTTGAACAAAACTCAAACTCGTTTAAAGATTTTACAAAATAAAATATTTTCTTCAGTTTCCTCTATTGGTATAAGGGGAAAACACTGGGACGTTTTTCCTTACGTTTAAGATAAAAATAATGTTTTTTATGTCTTTTAAAGTTGCCATGTGGTAAGTACTCGTACTTGGAGTGCTTAGAATTTAAAATATCATGACGTTGTAAATAACCAGTAGCCTATACGAATATGACTGTCGTGTAATGAAATGGTGATGTTTTGTGGTCTATTACATAGCACACACAGTCCCACTTATCAGTTTTGAGATGCACGATCTTTACAGATTTCTCAACCCTAATAAAAAAAATATAAAAACATATCTTTAATTTGGGGTTGTAAGGGCCATTTTGATGCTTGTCATTCGCCTATTGGGTCTGATGATGATTAGAGTGTCCAATCGAAATCGATCACCACTTACCATCTTTTGTATGTATTTACCGTCTTGGGAGTAAACAGTATAAGTGTAAATGTATTATTATAAGTGTTATTTGACGTATTTTATGTGCTTTCAAGTATCTTTAATTGCGAGGCTCAGGTAAAAATATGAATAAATATTTGACTGTGTGAATAAATACTTATAATTAATTTTAAATAGTTATATTTTATCAAAACCTCTCAAAAACTGTATGCAATATGAAAAATAAAATAGTAGATTTCGTGTCTAGGGCCAAAAATGACATTTTGCCGGCTCGAGATCGTTTTTATAAGCTGCAAAACTATTTTGATCCATGGTACGAACGCTAATTTTCACCACACTAATAATGCACAATAATAGTCAACACAACTACAAATTTAAGGTTATGTGAAGAAATCATTTGAGGAATCAGCCAAAATAATAATATTAATAATTAATATTAATTAATTATTAAATAATAATTAATAATTAATAATAATAAAGAGTTGCTAGGCAGCGGTGACAAAACAACTTTCTATTGCAATGCTATGGGTACTGATTGTGTATTTTATATGCTATAATGTTTTAGTAAAGTAAGCGGGCAGCTGATTTCTGGTCCTTGGGATAGTAAAAACCTGCTCGGTCCCCAGATGACGATGGCAGCTGGCACAGACAGCAATACGTAGCTTTTGACCTCCAATAAACGTTTGTAAAACAGCTAAAAACATCGTAGTTTGGTGGAAATGTTTTTGTGGGTGACCTTTGCTGCAAGTAAAGATAAATAAATTTTCTCTTGTGTGATTTTATTTTGGGAATTGTATACACATATATAAGACTGCTATTAGAATAACTAGATTCAGAAAAGGGTCGATTATTAAACTAAAGAGTTTAAGTCAACGAAAGAGTTTGAGTAAAGTTTAAGTTACAAACCATTTGATATAAGGAAAACTACAATATTGAGTGTATATATGTTGTGTTTCATAAAACAATTGATAGCTCTTTAGCAATATATCTGTTTAATATAATACTCGTATATTAGAAATATCTTTGTAAAAACATAGCTGGGTTTTGGTAAACGTAAAAAAAAAAATTAAAAAGATAGTTTGTCCAAATAACAGCGAATATTCAAAGCGTAGTCATAAATTACCAGGAGTCAGAAGGGATTTACATCCATATTTGATGCAATGCGTAATTGAGTAAGTGAAGGACATTAACATGACTGAGCAAATTGTTCGTGAAATATTCAGCTTCGCAATCCAATCATTGTAATGTTTACATAATGTGTTAATAATCCCATTATATCCTTTATCTAAATGTCATATGCTGTTCGAGTGAAACATAATTCATTACTTTGTAAAATGTTATTGATACTAAACAATGTAGTGACTTTTAAACAGTATTTTTTACATTAATGATGTTTGTAAATTTTTGTTTAGAGTAAAAATATATATAATAACAAACTATATTTAAATTTGTTCGACATTTTGCAATCAGATTTTTTAAATTAAAAACTTTGCAATGTCTTTTGAACCCTATTTTTTACAGTACAGATTTTTTTATTTCAAACGGCTATAACATACTAAATTTTAAAGCTATAACATGTTGTATGAAATTCAGTGCTTTACAATAAGAAAAAAATACCTCCATTTATAATGAAACAGTCAACATAAAATTCAAATCGTGATTCCTTTCTATTTATTTAACTGACAATATATTGAGTATGATTTTCCTATCATGGCCATACTGTCTATTTACAATACAATGACGGTCTGCGGCTCTGATAGTGTACCTATTGCTCGAATTAGAGCAATTGCTAAGGATTACAGGCGTCATAGTATTTTAAAACGAATAACAGTCATGATTTCTGAGGACTTTAAAATATTCGGATACATTTTATGAAAATACTCTAGATGTACATAGCAGATCGATATAATCAACATTTCTTGTAAATATCTTATCATTTTTCAAAAGCTGATCTGGTATTTTAGTGTTTTCTACAAATTGCCAGACTCAAAATACCTTTCTGTGGGCAATATAAGCCTACTATTTTGTCTTCATGGATAGGACTGGGCTTTCGATAGGCGAGTCTGTTACTAATGTTAGGAATTATTTGTATGTATTGGTGACCACTGGTTTGAGGGGGGGGGGTTGGGGGGGTAAAGTGGTTTGGCTATAGGTATCATCTGGGTTTAGGAAGCGATTTTAGTGGTTGCTTAATATGTTGTTTAGGTGTTTGATGGTTGAAGTTTATCTTCCACATGCCACTTTTAAGGTTTCCTTAGTATTTTGGGTAGAGCACAGGAATAATAAACTAAAAGCCAAAGTTCACAGATGATTAAGGCTTAATCTACATCCATAAACAAATTGATTGATCTGTAAGGCAAGGAGGCTTACTGTGTGTTTTACAGTATATCTCTCCAGTAATACACGTTTGATTGTTTTGTAAACACACTAAAGAAATGTGTAAAAATGCCACAATTGCCACATAGCACACAAATATCGTTTATCTACTAACCTCATTAGTGTTTTTAAGATATTTTGAACCCATAAAGTGTTATCAATATAGCCCGTGCGTGATATTAGGGGCAGTGAACTATGATTGGAACATATATATCGTTTGACTTGATGGACCTTACAAATGCATTGATAGTGACTTTAAAATGTGAAATATTAAATAACAATTGTCGAGTAAATTTTTGACGTAATTCTGACAAAGCTAAGTATACTTACAGGGTACACACTTTCAAATCATGTTCATGAATTGGTGGTAACTAAACACTTTTTTCACCACTAACTTCAATAATTGTGAATCTTATAACTACTATACAAATAAATGCGTGATGCAAAAGTGGATAGATAAAATAATACAAATAGAATATCCTTCAGTTTTTTTATTCAAACATTAATTATTATTACATGAGTACCTATAACATTTCAGTCACAAGTGGGGACAACCACTACAAGTTGACAAATATTTTCAGATTTCACTGGTAGTATTTTGTAGCTCTAAATGTCCAAATTCAACTATTAAGGTTGACTAGTGTGGTTGAGAAAACAATTTTTCTACTGTGTAAATTAAAATTATTTCTTCATGTCCAATAAGTTTGGGAGCTCTATACGATGTACAAAGTGTATAGTTTTATATTTATTTTTGGCCCAAATCGTATAAATTGGGTTGTTAATTTTGGTTGATAACTTTTTTCAATTGGTGCTACAGTAATATTTATTGTTTAATAGTACGAGAGGTGGAAATTCATTGTAATGGCGTCTCTTACGTCAAATTACTGTAATTTAGTTTGAAATTTTACTTTATAAATTAAACTTGTAGCCAAAATTAAATAGATAAGAGTTTCCGATATGTTAACGATTGGTCCCAATTACTTAAAACTTCCACAAAAGATCAAACGATTGAAACCGTAACCTCACTCTTAACAATTTTGTTTGAGTTATAGTTCGTCTGAACAAATATAAATAAAACCTATCAAACGTTTATCACTTAGGATGCAAAGGTTTACTTTTGTTCACTTTGGAAATGGATTTAGCGTTAATTTTATTTTTGAAAAGTCACAATATCATACTCAGTAAAGATTGAGAATTTGTTTATACAAAAACCTTATAACAGTTCTGAGTATAGATGAATAAGTTGTCTACTTTAATAAAGCGTGTGCTTTGCAATTAGTTAATTTTTTGAACTTTGAAATGTTAGAACAACTATTTTTTCAGGAGGTAGGATTAAAAACTAAGTTTTTCCTAAAACTGTATTTATTTTCTTAAACTTCGCACAAACTTTCCTGTTCATGACTAAAAACATAAACCTATTATGATTAATTCATATTTGACTAAGAGGAACAGGAGCTAATGGGATGTAAAAAAAAACTATAGTAAAAGAAAATACCATCCCGAGAAAACTTTATCTACTCACATAGAAAAATACCCGTAGTTTAATTTATTCAACAACACATAGATTCAACATTTACATGTGCAATTTCTTACAAGACTATTGATTGTTAATCACTATGTACAACTTCGAGCCTTCCTCTTAAGATAATCTATGGGTACTTAAGTATTGCTGCAAACTCTATACATTTATTTAGAAACACATTGGTGTACAACATGATGGTCACTCGCATATGATCAGATTGAAAAAAAATAACATAACCTAAGTGAAGGAAAATGAAAAGTGCTTTTAATACAAATGACTTAGTTTTTCACATAAGATTTGTATAAAGTTAATGAATTATAATAAATAAATGTAATTATATATTTTGTAAAAAATATGTGTAACATTTTTGTATTAAAATTGTTTGTGATCAGGTGCTTGATTATAATATTAATTTGATTTATTTAAAACATAAATTTTGCTATCTGATCTGGAGTATTCCCATAGGTATCTGACTATAATATCGATAATTGAAGTTGCCTTTCAAGTTTAGGTAAACTAAAAAGAAAGAAACGCATTCAGTTAATACAAGACTGTTGTTTACGTATCGAATTCATAAAAATAAAATCATAATCTCAATTCAAATATGTGGTGACAATATAGATACAACCATAATTTGAACAACTTCAATATAAAACTCTATACAAATAACACTAATATTTATATTATCTAGACAATGAGATAACCTTAACACTTACTATTAAGTCGTTGGTTTCATGACGAAAATATCTACTAGGATCACAGTCGAGACTCTTATGATTAGGGGACTGAGACACTTAATAAAAATATACTGATACATTCTTTTAACAGACCACTTGAAAAATATTTCCTCTTACATTGGCTGCCTTTTATCTGCTTTAATTTCCAATGTAAGATTTAGATTTCCCAATTAAGATAACAATGGGGCTTGTGGTAATCCTAATTGAAAAATCTCTTTACAGTTGTCTAGGCCCTTTGGACTCAGTCCCCTAAACGGAGAGTTAAGGAGGTCATGGTTATGTTGTATATAATGTTCATCAAGTATAAATGTAAAGTATTTATATACTACGATGCTTGTTCTGAACCCCTTTTTCTTTTTTCAACACACCTAAGATGTAAATTCTGGAAATTATGAAAGAATTTGAAACGATATAATTAGGGCCTAGGTGATTTCGAATGTTATTATTTTTTTTTTGCATTGTGTTATATTTCCTCGTAATTTGAAAAAACCCTGCTTTAACGGTTGATAACTAAATATTTTATTGAGTTGACATTGGTTTCACATTCTGGCTGGTGGTTATCCACTTAAGATGTGTTTAAACGCATTAGAAAACCCTACTGAAAAAGAGGTTTAGAAGAAAACAATGGAAAGCTACTAAAAGGCTTTGGGTGAACAGAGATTGTACCTTCAGACCCTTTGTCCGACGATCGTAAAGGCCGATGATTTCCATTGATTTTTAGAGGTGTTCTTCTCGAACAAGTGTCAGGTATACCTAAGTGTATTGGATCTGTCGACATAAAGTACCTTTGTTTAAGAAGTGCACCTCTGAGGCCTGAAGGACAGGACCGTACTGCATAAGTACTGGATCTGCTTCAAACGTCTTCTAGAACCTGTGGTCACCAATCGTGCGAGCCGCCAGCTCCACGACCGTCGGAGGAGTTCGCCACCATCAGTGCATGTATCGGACTCCCATGTGACGATGTCTTCGACGTATCGAACTCCTTCTGCCACACAGGATACGCTTGAAGGCGTTCCTGAACTCGGGACTGAAGATGGTGTAAATGATAGGGTTAAGCATGGAGTTGAGATACCCGAGCCAGAGGAAAAACGCTATTATATAAGGAGGAAAATTACTACCGTTGTAGATAGGGAGGAGGATGGCCATTATGAAAAACGGCAACCAACAAATGACAAACGCGCCTGTAATAATGGCTAAAGTTTTTGCAGCTTTGCGCTCGCGCTTGGAGTCGGCGTTTTCCTTGGTCTTTCTCTTCGGCGGGTAGAGTGTAGGTGGAGGCTGGTACTGGCAGGAGCCCAGGTCTACTGTGGGAGGGTCTGCCTCCAGACCGTTTCCGAAGGAGCCTTTCTCCGGAGATGTGTTGGTGGAGGAGACGTTGGTGAAAGCTGTGGTTGTGGTTGTGGTGGTTGCCTCCGAGATGGTTGGTAATGGTCGTCCTATGACACCTACTACTGCTGCTGCAATACCTCCACTGCCACCAGCCGCCCCAGCAGCACACAGCCCTGTAACAAACCCAGCACCCCTTCACTGTAGTCATCATTACCTGACTGGAGATGATACGTATTTAAAACCGATAGTGTTTATATGTTATAGTGACTACGAGTGGAACTGCTCAAGTGTGTGTGATATAACCGACTTGTAACCATCTTCACCTTCAATATAAAGATATCACTTAACATCAAACTATTTCAACTTAATAATCGGATTTCTGTGTTGTTTAATATTATCAGGATTATTTAAAATATGGTATATTTAGGTCCATTATTTATTTCGATTAATCCTTTAACTCAATTAGTGCTTAAATCAAATATGTAAGGTATCTGTACAACAGGATCCGTTAAAATCGAAGGAAGTTAACATGGGTGACTAAAAATATTCATCCCTAAAAGTGTGTTTATTTTTAAATGCAGCATAAACCTTGCAAAATATATCTGAACGGATGCAGTGGTAACAAAAGGTGATTGTTACTATGTGAAATTAGAATAGTAGAATAGAAGGTGAAATCCGAGATTTTTCTTTTATTTTAACATATTTTTGGCTTAAGAACGTTACATTGTAGAACTTTATAAAGTGTAGAATATTTACTAAATCAGTGTAGCTTTTCCAATACAATACTTTTATCAGAGGTGGCCAGGTACGTTTTACTCTAACAAATATTTGACAGGTTGTGTAACTCAATCACGCTACAACGTCACTCTGCCTGTCCGTTATACAGAGCCCCTGGGACGATTGATTTTATATATCTAGTAAAACAAAATCTTACAACATTTTACGATGTGAGATTTGAGTTGACTTACTACTTTACAAAAATTTTTAATAGGTGAGAATTTAAGCTTTATGCAATCACAAAACATGTATATTTTTACGCGTCTCAAATCACTACCTTATTTTAAAATATTTTCAAAATTTCAGTTATGACAAGCATTTTTTAAATATGTAATGGCCGAATAAAAATATTAACCTAAAAGCCCTTCTTACACTTAACATTAGTCACACTAAAAAAGAGAAAAATGTCATTCATTATTAGCATGCAAGAAGTGTGGTGAGACAAACAAAAGTGTTAGGAATGTAGTGTCTTAACTACGGCTTATGAATGAAAGTGTGTCTCAAATGTCTTAGTAAAAAATAATGGTTTTTGTATCATTGTGATAAATCTTACTGAACAAAAATGTACAGTTTAATTTTAATATCTCTCAGTTTAGTTTTAAGGTTTTTATGATGGTTAAAAATGAACAAAACACAAAAAATTAAGTGTTTTTAAACTCAAATATTCATACAAACACAACATATAGCTGGAATACAAAAAAAAAATTATTGATGATAGCCTATTATTAAATAACATGTAAGTTTAGTTTTATATTATTGTTTGTATCCAATACCTATTTGCAATCTGTATTATTCCATTATTATGGTATAGCTCTATTACCATATTTAACTGCTGTTTATGCTAAAGCAGGCTAACAAACAATAAGATATTCATCTGATATTTGTTGTTTGAATAGATTTTCCCTACACTATGTTTTATGAAATGTATAAAAATATATTGACTCGTAAAACCTGTGGTGATTATAACATTATAAGATCCAATTTAAACCAATAAATTTGAATAACATTTATTATATACGTACAATTTTAGTAGCCTAATATTGATGTTGATAGTTATTATTAGTATCTTTATTTTATACTTAATTAGTAAAGATAAAATAGAATAACTTTTTTTACGTGAACGATTTAATAGTAATACTAAAACATATGAAATGCAAAAACTAAAACATATTAAGATACTACGGCGCAGTATAGTCCGGTAATTAAAGAGAAATATATAGCGGAGGTTCAACAAAATTAATTCAAAAGGTTTTTCAACGGATTTCATTAGTTTTATACCTCCTCACAACACAAAAAAAAGTCTACCAAAATCTGACTTGGGGAAGTACCTGAATAATGGTATTTAAATTAAAATAATAATCGCTCCGTAAAAAAAAACAGATAAAAATATTATTGCTATATATAGGTTTTAGTATATCGTTTTTAATGTTTTGAAGGGTGGGGAAACTAAATATGCAACTTAAAATGTGATTTGACGTCATTTTACACCGCAAAATGGCCGCCAAAATCGATTCATGGGGAAAAAACTAAAATAAAACTTACTTCTAGATAATAGTGTGCAGTATATCGAATTCAATGTTCACAAGGGTGGCAAAACCAAATATACAACTTAAAATATGATTGTATCTAATTTAAAAGCATAAGATGGAAGTCACCAAAATACGCTCCATGGAGGAAAGTTGAAAAACTTACCTTTAGAAATAAATAACTTCTTGATCAGCATAGTACGTATTATTAAATTTAAAAAAAGTAAATAAAAGAAACGTCTTTAGAAATAGCCTATCTTTAGAACTAGGTTTTAGTTTTCGATCTTAGCTTTTATAAAATACCAGTAAACTAACATGCAACTTAAAATGAGATTTCACATTATGAGACAGTAAGACGGGGTACCGGGGCACATGGATTATTTTTATATAGGATACTGTATTAAAATAATGGTATAATAGTGAAGAAATAAATCGATTTCAATGAACAAACTTTTTAATACAAATACAGCCGACAATTCATACTGCTAATAATATACTGTTAAAATTGACTGAAGTGTTAAAAAATAGTCCCACATATCTATCATTTGTCACCTTTTTAGAAACTGTTACTCTGAAATAAATTACTTTGTTACTTCAATATTTTCACTCAAATCAAGGGTTTGCCCATTTGTGCATGTGATCCCTTTACACTGACCACATGCCAAGTTGCATTGAAGACCATTTTTCCTGCAAGAACATGTATTTTTGGAACACATCCCACTACAGTTGCACTTAATTATCTTTAGTAGAGCCTCTGGTGCTGCAGGCTGTTCCATTCGGTGTGGCTTCAATATGGACTTGTTAGCTGTGTTACATAGAACCCAGCCCCACTGTGTCGCATCAATCTTGATGCCTAGCCATGCCTGAACTTGATGGTAAACCCGCTGGCTATGAAATCTGGCCGCATCTGTTGTTGGTGGTAGGCGTTCAGGGGGCATATAACTGGAACTTGAGGCTACCTTTTCCGTGAACTTCAAAGCACGTTCAGAGTTCAAATCAGAACCATTCTTGCAACCATATATGGTTGCAATGGCCTTATTACCAGCCAGCTCAATTTCCTTACGCTTGACATTTTCAATCATGAACAATTCAGCGATTTCCTTCAGATTGTGGTATTTGTTCATGGCTGAAAGTTTTCCAATTCCCCAGGGTCTCGATGTGGTATCACATCCGGAAAGAGCGTGAATAAAGAGTAGGGAGCGACTCAGGTTAGGATCAAGTTCTCTTTTCATTTTGGATACATCTATCAGCTTCGTGCTAGTTTGGAGATAGATAGTCTCATGATTAATGACTGATAAGTGGTGTTGTAACAGAATGAGGAGGTCTGTATCATCTCCTACAACTACTACAGGCTGTGACAAAGCAGTTGTGCAAGCAGTCATTGCTATATCATAATCAGCATCACCAGATGAGTGAGTGACTTGAATCCCTTCTTGCTTTGTCATCTCTGATCCCAGGAGATGAAGGAATTTCTGCTTGTTGTTTGTGTTGGCCAGAAATGACTTCTTCTTCATTTTTAGCAACATATCTGGAGTGAAATCCACATTCACACCCACCTCACTACCACTCCTCCTTTGATGAGTTTCATCCTTAGTAGAAGGTCCATCGCTATAGCCGTCAAACACAATAAGAGAAGTATGATAATGTTTTTTAACAAACGTAATATATAGCTGGCAAATATTTGCATATGATGTCGACTTTGGCCATGGTAAGCGCTGTAAGAGAGCACCTCCATCGATGATATACATAACTACATTGATAGGCAGTTCCTTTAAATCACACGCTGGCACCATCTTTACTAGGCCGTTTAGTAACTCAGACTTGGTGGCAAGGCGCATAAAGAGTTTGTTGTCAAAAAGGGATGAAGGATACGAACATAACTCATATTGGAACAGTGTCTGAAGATCTATGGTGCCAACCCCTGCAATAAGAAGCCGCTGATATAGCTGTGCCGGATCAATCTGAAGCTTTTCACCATCAACACATACATAAATGGAGGAGGCTAAGTTACTAACCTGCTGTCTTTTCTTGAATGTATGTTTTGTAACTGACATTCCCACCATAGATTCAAGGATAGAATCACCAATTACCTCAGCAGAGTCAACGTCTACGGTCCTTTCTGCTATCACCCCATGCGACAGGCTTCGAAGCTGCTCAGAATTCTTGGAGAATGGTTTTCTTTCTTCTAGATAATCAATGATGGACTGCAGGTCTTTGGAATCACGGTTAAGCCTGGCCTGCGTAAGATCTTTGTGAATGTGTGACTCCTCTGACCTTGAGGCACATGTAACCTCCTGCATGGCTTTATTTACTTCAGCACATGCAGGCGCAGATAGTAGCCAGGTCAGACTGGTTGATTCTTCGAACCCACGTCCTCTAGTCAGACCACCAGCCGATTTCACACTTCCCATCAAGACCTGTTCAATGAAAAGGTCACTAAATATACCTGACCAGTAACTATCACTGCGGCGCACGACAAACAGTCCTTCCAAAAATGAGTTATAAACAGCTGGATGTGTTACCTCCAGATTGTCCATCTTTTCCAGGTACAAAACAAGTGACTTCACGTAGTTGTTGTGACCTGATGCAGCTAGATATGGTAGCATGTCATGAAGCGATTGAAGATAAAGCTTCCAATTACCAGTACGAGCAGATCGGATGAGTGAACGGAGTATGCTCACCATACGCATGTACATGATCCAGAGCTTGGCTGTGCGGTATGGTGCCATAGAATTTGACCATTTTTCTGCAGTTAAAAGTAGCTGTGAAATTATATCGGAATTGAGGGCCTCATATAGACACAATTGTCCTGTATTAACCTTTGACATCAGCTCACCAGCACTCTCAAGAAGGGAAACGCCTTCCACACTTACTTCCTCCGTAGCAATTTCATCCAATTCATCCAGAACTGTATTCATAATGAGTACACTATCAGTTGCATCTCCTTCAGTACTGAACTGGGCTTCGACATCTTCAGCTAATAAACTGAAATGTTCACTCAAAGATGAGAGTGACTCCACAGGCTTATCCTCACACATTTTAGGTACAGGAATGTTGTACATTTGCGATGTAGCTATGGTATTGAGAGCACTGTCAACCAGAAAATGAGCACGTACAGCTCGTGCAACTGCTTTGCCAGACATAATCTGCTCTACACTTCCCTCGGCATAGACTTGAGAGATGATCTCAGCCAATCCAGATCCATCCATCAAGCTCCCAATTGCACCCAGGAAACTCATCTCAGTATGAAAACCTCCCAAAACTAAAATTATCTGACGAAGAGGGCTGTCAGTTGGTTGCGATTCGATTATCATGTTTGCAATCCACCATAGCTGCTGGTCGAATGTAATGATTGGTGTTACTCCATTTCGTTTGGCATGATCAGACAGGTACTCTAGGGTCGATCTGACACATGTTGGGTCACTTGGTGTTAAATTAATGAGGGGTAGAAAGAACTCTGAACTCTTGCCAGGGTGTGGCATGTGTGAATGTAGCATCTTCATGCATCCAGACCACAACGGTCGAGGCTTAGGGAAGTGCAATGATACTCGCCATAGAATGTCAAGTTTGCTATTGTTATCGTCATGACTGACCGCACGAAGTTTTGTATAAATCATTTTGTCCTGAATTCTCTTAGGGTTTAATTGTGGTACCAGTTTAACTTGGCAGATCTTCTTTAGATCATCCATTGTTACCTTCAATCGGGGTACCTTCCGTGTTACTTTCAAGGCTGGCGTACATGTTCCCATCTGGCCCATGACATGGATTGTACCATAACCATCTAGAGTTTTACTGGCATGGTCTACATTATCAGCCTGGTATTGCACAAACGTGTTTGCAATATCTTCAGTTAAGTCAACACCCTGAGAAGTAGCTGCATTTTGCCTATACTTAGTAGCTTCTGTGTATGACGAGCAGAATCCAAGTTTATTTACCATGTCAACCAGATCACGATGCCCATATTTGTGTTCTAGGGTAACACTGAGTCCTACTTGAAGAGGGGGAAGAAACGAACGTGGGCATGTTGATTGCATTATTGCCTGGCCAAATGAGGCAATATGAAGCTTAGAGTTTCGACTCTTAATAATAGTTTCCAGGAGTATGCGCAGCGAAGATGGAAGATATTCAAGATTTCTATGTATTGATGACATCTGATCACTGTCTGGGTATTCCATGTCATGTTTGTCCATATTTTTTATCTCTGATCGAATGTATTGGCCCACGGTTTTGATCAAGCAATCCATGTTGGTTATATCTGCATTAGCAGTATTTACATGTGCCTCGTGTATTATATTGTTCACATTCTTTGTAAGAGTGACAATGTTAGGCTGTTGCCTAGCTGTAGTAATAGACACTTTATTCCCATAATGCTTCAACAGCTCACGTTTCAACTGAGCTGTAGTGTACAGTTCATCATCACTTAGTCCACTCCTCAATTTCATAACTGAATGTAAATCATTTAACGTTATAGTATCATCATCATTCTCCTCTAGGTATGAAATGGCTGCCTCAAATGCTGTTAACTTGGACATATTCTTTGGTCGACCGAGTTTCTGTTTCTTCAGTTGACCTGGTTTGCTGTATGCCGCTGGTATATTTATTCCTGACCGAAAATGTGAAGCACAATCTCGGTGATATATAGCTTTTTCAGCAGGGAGGTCATGTATAGCCAAAAGACGTGACTGTACTGTCTTTGCCCAGTCGTCTTTCCTCTTCTCACATTGCGCTTCAATGTTCTTCTGAAAATCAAGCGTCATCACATGGCTCCATTGAAGTATATTTCTTTCAGGATATTTATGTCCGCCATGTTGATCAACAGACACACCACATAGAAAACAGTCAGTTTTAAAACTGAATGGTGTTCTCTGTGATCGAAGTGTTTTCTCAGTTGTGTCACTTGAATCACTACGTCGTTTCTGTTGACCCTTCAATGCTTTAGGGTTGATATGTTTCTTTCTACACTCCTTGTGTACAAAAAGGTAACAGTTCTCATCGTATATGATGTCTGGCACATATAGGTTGCGCAGTCTATTTGCATTATTAATGCCAATACAACCCTTTTCAGTTAATTTTGAATAATCGTTAGCGTTGTCCAGGTCAATAACCTCCAAGCACAGCACACAAGTATCCATTTCTTCATCAATCTAGAAAGTAAAAAGAACGGGTTAAAACACTGGGAGGTAAGATGGGATAGTAGTCCATCTTGCCCCACAGACCCCGTCTTACTCCACCGACGCGTTTTAAGGTTAACACTGTTCGTTATGAGTTTTATTAGTGCGTAGCTTATGTATTCAAACTAAGCACTAAAATCTATACTATTATAGTAAAATACTACAAGTACTTTAAAGTTAAATATGAGTCAGACTTACCTATAATCAGCTACATAGTGTGAATGACTCAAAGTAGGAGTATAGATACCGATTGATGAATGTATAGAAGGGAATCAAATATTACTCACATTTAAAGAAAATGAAGGTAATTGATGGAATAAAAGAGAGTAAAGTCAGAAAGAATAATGAGAAATAGTTTTAAGGAAGAGAGATTAATGTTAAGAAGAAATTGAACATTTAACTGGACAGAATATATGTGAGAGAAAAAATGAACACACTTCTTAGTTACGAGAGAACAAGAAACTGATTTATTTACATTTTAAATGCAACATATGTTTAACAATAAAATAAATTAATAGGATTATAGCACATGTTGCTAGGAAAAGTATTGTAAGTAGACCAAAACAAAGAGCATATAGAGCAAAGAGCATAGAACAAAGAGCATTTTAAATAGAATGTTGAAAGTTTACTAAACATAGTGCAATAAGAAAGAAAGTTCAAAGATAATTAAAAGCACTCCCGATAACAATATTGGCACAAGCTAACTAAATCACTCAAAATTGCTGATCATTGTACCAATTTCTACTACAACCTCTAGGTTTTAGTAGTTATTGCTTATACACAGGCGTCTTCTCCACCAGTATCAACTAGTTCTAGCGTTTGCTGTTTGATAACAGCACTAACTGAGATGTGAGAGCAGCTCAATCACCGAACGATGTCACATCATATTTAATTTATTTGATTTTATGTCTCAATGGAGTGCGTTCTTGTGGTAGTTTTGTCATTATAAATTGAGTAAGTTTATAATTAATGAGTTTTTAAGATGTATTTTTGGTTTTGCCACCCTTGTAAACATTGAATTCGATATACTGCACACTATTATCTAGAAGTAAGTTTTATTTTAGTTTTTTCCCCATGAATCTATTTTGGCGGCCATTTTGTGGTGTCAAATGACGTCAAATCGCATTTTAAGTTGCATATTTAGTTTCCCCACCCTTCAAAACATTAAAAAGGATATACTACAACCTATATATAGCAATAATATTTTTATCTGTTTTTTTTACGGAGCAATTATTATTTTAATTTAAATACCATAATTCGGGTACTTCCCCAAGTCAGATTTTGGTAGACTTTTTTTTGTGTTGTCTGGAGGTATAAAACTAATGAAATCCGTTGAAAAACCTTTTGAATCAATTTTGTTGAACCTCCACTACTCAATGACTGGACTAGTAGGCTTACATATGCTTAAAGCCAGCTATAAATTCGCTGCAATACCCTTAACCATTGTTGCTGACGGTTTGTTATCTGTTGGTTGCCAAAAGGATAGGAAGTTGAGGTGAAACGTGCAAAATATGACAAAAGAGAGGGAGAAATGGTGGCTGAAACGACAAGAATAGTTAAATATAAAAATAAATATTGCTAACGCAAGCCCTCCTCTTTCATTAAGTACTGTTTGAAGGACGAATTGTATTTAAATGTCTATCCATTGACCACAGTGGATGGAGGTTCCAAAAATAATATTGAGATAGCAAGAAATATCAAATGTCTAAAGAAATATCATTTTTGAAAATGAAGCTATATTTCACTAGATTATTTAAAGACAGAAAACCGTCCCATTGAATTCAAGTTATTTGTTAGGGATGACTTGCGTTGCAATCGTATAATTTACAACACACTAAAAGCTGTAGATCCAAGTAGTAAAACAGAAAGTGCTGCAACCTAGGATAGTAGGTAGTAAAAGGTGACATTTAAAATACACCTAAAACGTATATAGATTTTAACGTAAAAAGTTTTGATATTATTGAGGTTAACAAGGAAAAGTATTGCATTTTTACATTTTCAATGAAAAAATAAATAACATTCCTCTATTCGAACTTTATTTCTTTACTTTAAGTCAAAGGTACCGTGCATAAAATTGGGTAGTGCATGCAAGTTCAAAGTCCAATCATATAACAAAAATAGTTCATGCAATATATAATCTTTAATCTAGTAAATAAATGCTTCAATAAAGTATTAAGCTGTGTAAAATTTACATTTACAGAACCTTTATGACTACCCTTTATACTAAGGCTTAAAACTAACCATTTCAATTCTGCCTCATATAAATGTTGTAAAAGTATTATTGCAAACATGTATTTAAAAAATTCATTTTTTATCTTTGTTTGTTTTATATCTGCTATTCCTAATAGGTTATTTTTCAAGCAAAAACAACAAAGAATTTATGAAACTTCTGTTTTGCCAACCAATTATTAAAGACCATCCCAACAACTCTTAATGCAACATAAACTTAACAAACCCTTAGTAAAATTAGAAAAGTACATTTGTGTACTTTTATCTAAAACATTGTGGACATTGTAGTAACTAGACTTACCAGCCATAACACCGCCTCCTGCAGGTACTCTTGAACTTCCCGCTGAGGATGCCGCCGATGCCGTCATCCTCCTTCTAATCCTCTTTCTCGCCGCTTGGAATATCCTCCAGTAGAGCGCCAGGATGACCAGAAGAGGCAGGTAGAAGGAGCAGGCGGTGGCGAATATCTGGTATCCTATGTCCTGGGACACCAGACATGTCTGTTGTAGCGTGATGCGCTCTTCCCACATAGGATCCTTCCATCCTAGGAGAGGGGCGATGCACACGAGGAACGACACCACCCAGATGATCAGGATCATGATTCCTATCCTCTGAGCTGTTCTTTTGTGGATGTAGTCCACGTTTGTGACCGCCCAATACCTAAAATGAGAAAAGCTGAAGGGTAAGAGTTTGAACAGGTTTTAAAATTATGATTGTTTTGATTAAACCAGATTGGAAACCTGATATTTTTCATAAAGCATTTTCCGGTTGTTTAATTTTAAGACAATGGAGACAATGGAGACTTGGAGAATGGTAGTAGACAAATTTTGTATAAGTTTAGCAGCAAAACAAATGAAATCATCACAGAATGGACTAAAATTAAGATTATAAGTTGACACTACCTCTTGATTTGAGAGGCAGCGGGGACTTAAATAATATGTTCTACCTAAGTATAATGTGAGCCTCTTTTAATTTGATGATATAAAGAAATTGCAGGGATAAGTATAAGAATCAACTATAGATCTTAAGTAGAACCATGGTTAGGAACTTGTACAAGCTCTTTGCAATCTCAAGACATGAAATATTTGAATTTACAGTTCATTTACAGTACAATTTACAGTTATCTACTGTGCCACTGCCCCACTTTACCACATTGTAAAGTTTATATGTACAGAACAGTTACACGAATACCTTCATTTCTACTTTTTTACCCTGTTAGTGATGGATTTGAGTTGTGATAAACCTGTAAATCATACTTGAAAAATTCAATATCGTTACTGTCAGTGTTACTAACAGTGGTAGTTTAATTCTAAACAATGTTTTGAAAAGGTAAACACTACTTTTTTACTAGAATATTAGTTTTACAGCTAGTAGTTTACTGTCAGTAGTTTTACAAATTTTAAAATATACCCAATAACTCTGATTCAACTATATCTCTCATTCCGATGGTTCAATTTCAATTTAATTCCCTGGTTACCTATCGAGTGCGATGGCGACGAGGTGTAATATGGAGGACGTGCAGCACAGTACGTCACACGAAGTCCACAGGTCGCACAGCTCGGGTCCCAGTGTCCAGTGGCGACTGACTTGGTAGATGGCTGCTAGAGGCATGACCAGGCAGGCCACCAGGAGGTCAGCCACGGCCAAGGAGAGGATCAGGTAGTTGGCGACGTTCTGGAGGTTCCTCTCTAGGAGAATGGCTGCGATCACGAATACGTTACCTGCCAATACCATATTGTTGGTTATACTTTGACTATACACCAAGGAAACAGGGAGAGGATCAGGTAGTTGGTGACGTACTGGAGGTTCCTCTCTAGAAGAATGGCTGTGATCTCGAAGACGTTACCTGCCAATACCACATGTTTGCTTATACTTTGACTATACACCAAGGAAACAGGGAGAGGATCAGGTAGTTGGTGACGTTCTGGAGTTTCCTCTCTACGAGAATGGCTGCGATCACGAAAACATTACCTGCCAATACCACATGGTTGGTTATACTTTGACTATACACCAAGGAAACAGGGAGAGGATCAGGTAGTTGGTGACGTTCTGGAGGTCCCTCTCTAGGAGAATGGCTTCGATCACGAATACGTTACCTGCCAATACCATATGGTTGGTTATACTTTGACTATACACCAAGGAAACAGGGAGAGGTTCAGGTGGTTGGTGACGTTCTGGAGTTTTTTCTCTACGAGAATGGCTGCGATTTCGAACGCGTTACCTGTTGAACCGACATGGTTAGTTTTACATTTAGTTTATCTACAGAAATTAGTCATGATATTTAAGGTATTGTATTTACTTCACAAAGCTATTTTATGCGGAGAACGCTTTCCACCTGTTGTTAATTATCATCATTCTAGGGTATATTGTAACTGTGTTGATGTTGTATCAACTGAATTGGTTAGTCGTAAAAGACCATGAATTGGTTGAGTCGTATGCAGCGTAGCTACTACGTTAAAAATTTAATCAGGATACAGCTAAACCTAACGTAGTGGCATTAAAGAAAACACGCGTTTTATGAAAAAAGAAAAATTGGATTTGGAAACTTAAATAAATAAAATATCTGATCCTTCAATCTAGGAGTTTTATATGGTTAGACTAACACCTGTCGAGCACGACCTTAGTACTTCTAGTACAGGTAAAATGATACAAAAACACTCAATATAAACAACAAAATTTGTACAGTAATGAAATTTCACCTGTGAGTTACTAATAATATGAGAAATGAAGATCCGATGAGTCCCCAAAATTTTGGGCGTCCTAGGGCCCTTTTTGGGGCCCTTTTTGTTCTGATGGGCCCTTGTTCCTGAATAATTTGGTTTTTACGTTTAAGGTCGAGTGAGGTGTGGTTTTCGATGGTTTTAGTTATTTTAAATCGATTGGGACTAGTTTTAAGTGTATTAAACCACTCCATACAGAGTGTTTCGAAATATTATTACTTTTTACGATATTTAAACATTTATTCATAAAGTAATAAAATTAGTTACCTCCATGCTCTATATAAAAGGGGATTATTGAAAATAACTGTAATTCTTTACTATATAAGAGGGAAGGATCACAAGGAGTAAGAGGAAATATTCAATGCAACCGGCACAGCAAACCTGCAGACTAAGGGAATTTTCATTTGCCTGATTTTCAATTTAATCTAAAATAGCATTGAGTTTAATGAATACTTAGGTTTTCTGCTACAGGGAGGCTAATAAAGTGTGTTTATAGTAAAATATTAATAGCCTAGTATAAAACAAATAAAATTGACAAGTTTTATTAAGACATATCAATAAACAAACAAACAAAATCATTTTACACTATTCTCCTTAAGAATAACATGGAATTTTAATTTCATAATTTTTGAATTTTATTCGTAACTAATACACTTACAAAACACGTTAATATACTAAATTATTTGTTTTCTTTAAGCTCTTTAAAATGCTCTAGAGAAAAATTGGGAAACTTTGTCTTTTGAGGGTCAAAAATAAAAAAAAATTACCACATAAAACCCTGTTCCATGGACCGATTATGCCGGTTTCGTTAAAATTGAACTAAAATTACTCGAGTTATCATGTTTACGGACACGTATATAACATGGATATATTATATTATATATATGTATGTAAACACGTATATCATATTTTGAGTGGATGGTGCTTTAGGCTTCTGGGGGCATCAAAATGAAAACGTAAATCGGTTTTGGGCCTATGTTTTACTATAAGACCTTCGGTAATAGCTTATCTCCTATATGGGATGTTCGCTAAAAGGGGATGCATTAAGTTTTACACTATAACATAATTACATAGGTTACTAAGCAAAGATTTCAACTTTTAAGGTGGTGTAAATAATCTTTCAACGTGTTTTTTATGCAAATCTATTAAGACCAATTTCAAATTGATATGTATTTTTCTTAAGTAGCTATTTAAGTTATTTTTTTACATTTATTACAAATGAAAACTATTGTATTTGTATAAAACCTTACATTACATATTAAAATGAAGTACTAAAACTAAAGCTATTTTTCTACAATTTCTGTAGTATCTCTCTTAACAATTTCATCATCACAATAATTATTCTCAGACGACTCATTAACAATTTTATTATTCTTGGAACTTTTCCATCTTTACTGATTTTGTCCAAGTTGGTGTTCAAGCAGGATTCCCCTTTACAAGCCTAAAACCTTGCATATTTCAGAACAGGCAACACCAATCTTAAAGCACGAACAATGTGGTGCAAAAACACCTTTCATACATACTGACGTTTGCAACTTGTATCTTAAGTTCCTCAAACTTATTTTCAATCAATACAAGTACGGTTATCTTTCGTGGTTGTGACGACCAGGACAGCACTTAAGACATCAGAGCAGCATTGTCGGTACAAGCATTTTTGTCCTGAACAATGGGAACGAAGTTTTTGGGGGTAAAAATTGGGTTTTCTCATTTACTTTACCCTCAAAACACAAAGTTTCCCAATTTTTCGCTAGAACATTTTAAATAGCCTAAAAACAAATAATTTAGTATATTAGCGTATTTTTGTATGGTTATTAGTTACAGATATAAATACTAAAATTGTAAACTTAAAATTCCCATGTTATTCTTATGTAGAATAGTGTAAAATGATTTTGTTTGTTTGTTAATAGATATATTTTGATCAAACTTGTCAAATTTATTTGTTTTATACTTGGCTGGCAATATTTTACTATAAACACACTTAATTAGCCTCCTTGCAGCTGCAAACCTAGGTAATCGTTAAACACAATGCTATTTTAGATTTAATTGAAAATCAAGTAAGGAAACGGAAATTCGCTAGGTCTGCAGGTTTGCTGTGACGGGGGTATTTAATATTTTCTCTTACTCCTTGTGATCCATTCCCCTTACGTAGTAAAGAATTACAATTATTTTCAATAATCCCCTTTTATATAGATCATGGAGGTAACTAATTTTATTACTTTATGAATAAATGTTTAAATATCCTAAAAAGTAATAATATTTCGAAACACCCTGTATGATGTGGTTTAATACACTTAAAACTACTCCCAATCGATTTAAAATAACTAAAACCATCGAAAACCACACCTCACTCGACCTTAAACGTAAAATCAAAATTATTTAGGAACAAGGGCCCTTCGGAACAAAAAGGGCCCCAAAAAAGGGCCTTAGGACACCCAAAATTTTGGGGACTCATCGGATCTTCATTTCTCATATTATTAGTAACTCACAGGTGAAATTTCATGAATGTACAAATTTTGTTGTTTATAAAACCCTAAATTACCTGTACTATTCCCTAAGTCTACAAGCTTTGCCTACATCTATTAGTATGGCAGTTTGTTAGCCTTTCAAGGAAGGAACACTGCTTTTCTTTACATCTAGATGACTAAAATGTGGCTTAGCTTGACACTAGAAGCTAAGGGACTATATGAGAAGCTACTAAAACTAGACCAACAGAGCATTTAATAGTAATAACAAGTTTCTTTAAATATAAGAAGATAAATCATCCTTAGACCAAAGTTTTAACTAGATCTTAAATATGCATAAAGGTTGCAGTGGTTAATCTGATAAAATGATTCCTTCTCATATACAAAAGAAGACGAAATAGTTTACAGAAACTTTAGGTCTTCTATCATAGAGCAAATTCTACCTCTCTAGTTAGTCATAGTCAACCTGCATGGATGTAACTGGCAAAATAGGATATACAGTATTAAATTTCCGTGTCCGAATAAACCATCACAATATCTTTGTATTTCCTTAAGCTCCATGTACAAACCATTTAAGAGTATTAGTAATGAATTAATTGAATTAACAGCTTGATATAATTAATTGCCAATTATATGAGAATAACAAATAACATTTCAATCTATTTCCTGGAAACTGAAATTAATTTGAAACGTGTCTTAACTCAAGAATTGGACTTTAAAAGCACGACGTGCAGTTGGGCGCGCTCAAGATGATTAAAACAAGATTGCATCAATCTCCTCCGGCGTCGGATTATGTTCTCGTTCTGGAATAACAGAATTTTTACTAAACAAAACAGTTTGTTTCCCTTGAGGATGTAAAAGTTTCAAATATTACATGATTAAATTGAGATATTTAAATGTTGAAAATGTGAGGAGCTTTATTTTACTAAAGATATACTAAAAGCCTACGATTAGATGATTATAGTTGTTATATAATACCATTTTCAACTGTAACATTAATTGACAACTAATTAAAAGTGATATAGAATTTTCTTTCTCACCTGGCGTGCTTAAGACCGTTGCTTTAAGTATGTTGGTTTACTTGATCCAGGGGACAGTGTTTTTGTAGTAAAAATACGGTACGTCTGAGATACTTTTTGCCACCAAACCCCAATAGGGGTTACTATTCTGCTTCCCTGGTACTCTATTTAGGTTTTTAAATTTAACCTGCTTTATTCGTTAGGACAGGTTTGTTTCTGTATCATTGTTTTAGTTTCTGAACTACGTCAATAAAAGTAACCATAGGACATCACTGACATGTACAGGTTCAAGGTTTCCGCACATTACAGCAAGATCAATACCCTTAAAGTGTGACGTTGATCCTAATATACAAACTTAAATACACCCCAAATAGAATAATTTTTTACTTTTGGAATTCTGAAATAGATATGTCATCTAAATGGATCAGCAGCAGCCAATTTGTATTACATTGATGAAGGAGCCACTCCCAAAAATATTGTCGAAATTATACAACTACTCTTATACTTTGATAACGTATTTTATGGCGTAATAATGCTATAGATTACAGAACAGGGACATGTTAAAGAGCTGGTTCATTCAACAGAAATCAGTAATTCAAATCAGTGTACCATCTCAACCCAACTACGGTCATAAATTACGGCAAAATTAAGACGCCTTATAGTAACGATAGTCAATGATATGGCATAATTGACCTGGTGTAAAACCAACAGATTGAATGATTTCTTATCATAATCAATAACAAATCATACTGGTAAGATAATGTTGTAACCTCACCTATGATGGTTGCCAGAATCATCAGTCCCAGGACGATGCCCAGCGCTATGGCTGTGACAAGGTTCACCTCATCCCCGTCCATCCTGGTCGTGTTAAAGTCCATGGTTAGGTTTGAGACGGTGAGGTTGGGGAAGTAGAGAGAGTCGAAACCATCAGTTGCCAACATCTCTTCCCAGTCAGTGCTGGGGTTGGTACCGTTCGTCGCCAGCATGGAGTTGGTCGGGTCCAATGTCTGATTGGTCGGGAACACTCGGATCTGGAAGAAAAAGAGATCAGAATCATGAGTTGAGAGTCGTGAATCGAGAGTAGGGGGTAAAATGAAGAAACATTAAAACACATTAACATTAAAACATTATCGTGAAAAGTAAGAAGTGAGGAGTAACGGGTCAAGGTTCACGGGCCATACTCTACGGCAGTTGAGAGTTAAGAAGGAAGCTAAAAATAAGAGTTAAAAATCAAAACAAATTTTGGATGGGCAATAAAATCTGCTAGAATTGTTATGACTAAAAAATAGACATGAAAAATAGCCATTGGTATTTAAATGTAGTCCCAAGGATTTTAATATTTATTAATCCTTTTTGAGGAATTTCCTATAGTATTAATGTTTTGGTCGAATGTATAATTGTGAAATAGTAATGTGTCAGTGTTGACTTAAGTGATAAGTATCGTCAAATGTAAAGTTAAAAGAATATGCAAACTAAACAAGGTGCGTTTACATTTATACTGAAAATAATTAACAGGATAAAATAAACGTTATTAATTGCATTAGAAACAAATTCAAACTTTTAATAAGAGACTGACAAGTGAGTTTGCTTCTCTCGGTTATCTCCTTATTCCCTGTAGACATTAAAAATACCGTTAAGCTGCTTCCCGAAGAGGAAAAAGTTTTGTTCTCACGAAATTGACATTAAATGAATTAAAGCTTGAAAATACAATCAATAAATGATGCTTACAATTTTCCAACCGATCAAACTATTTCGTCTCAAGTTTCTTTTATGTTGATTTACCTGTACAATCCAACATAATTCCCTTATGGATATAAAATACTATACAAGTCACAATGAAACACTAACTTCATCTACAAAAATAAATACTTAATACTCATTTGGTCTAAGTGCAAGTGTTGTGAAGTTTATTCTTAACGAAAAGATGTTCACAAACACCTAATAGTAAGGCAAAAATTCAATGAAGACAGTGGTCTTCTAATGGGTTTTGGGTTAGGGTCCAAATGCTACCCATTATAGTTTTAAGGGTTATAAAATATAAGTTTATACGTAAAGTTAAATATAGTATTAATGTACAACGCCCGAGAGGTTTTGCTTGATGAGTTTCAATTTGAAACCCATGTATATAAACCAATTCTAGGTAAAAAGGGGCCACCAAACCATTTCTTTAAATTTACTAAAAACCGAACAATTCATTGGTGTTTTTCCTCTAGACTGTATGTCATATCTTACTAACAAGGTACACATAATTTAAATAATGTGTATAACCATCATTGAGAACAGGAAGAGTTGAGATTACACAAGAGAAGACATATACCTCAGGTAGCAGCCACCAGACATCGTTGCTGTCTGTCACAGCTGCCATGGTGGGAGGGGATGAAGTTGTGGAGGCGGCGGGGGCAGTGGAGGCGGCAGAGGTGGAGGCGGTAGACGGCGACGGAGGCAGCAGAGGCGTCGTCTTCTTACGTAGTCTGAACGGGCGTCGTGCATATCGCTTGAACAACTCATGATAGGCACTTCCCTCTACCATGGTTGACTCAAACCCTCATGGCCTAGGGTCTGAAACAGATTTAAATTGCCCTATTTAAGATAGAAATATATAATGTACCGTATAGCGACATATTTTTTCAGAAGTGAATAAACGAATTACGAAGCCATTCTATTAGTATATTCATATCATTTCAGGTGGAAATGACGCACCACTAAGGTTTTTTTTCAGTACAGTTCACTCTTGTACTGTACTGGATCACTCGTTTCTCCTGAGCTCGTTCATATATATTTGAAATGTAGACAATACACTTTCTCAATAAAATGTATTCAAAGATTCAAAGATTTGCCTTAAAAGAAAAAAAAAACTAGTAGTCTATTATAGCTGATAAAACAGTAGTACAAATTAAGTCGCCCCATATATTTAAATGTATAAAACTAAAACTTTAATATCGAACTAAATCATGTTTAATGTTTCTTGATACCAATATGCAGGGTTGTTTCAAAAAACGAAATTAAGTTGGAACAGATAGGTTTTTCCATAGTAACATTTCACTCTGAATTCTTTTGACATATTCCACATATTGGCAGCGAATATTGAATTAAACAACATCTGTGGTATTTCTCGAGTGAATTTCCATTGGTTCATGTGGAATCTGCCACAAAATATATGCAAATATAATGTAGTTTTTACACGTTTATGTAAAATTACAGAATAAAAAAAACTGGTTTAAACTGTTCTACAACAAAAATCCTTTACCTTAATTTTGTTGACACCATTTTTATTACAACACGAATATTTCCATGATATAATGTTTTCTTATACAATAAACGATAAGAATAAATTATATAAACCAACATTATACTTACTAGTTATTTTTTTATAAAATAAGTAATTTTCAAAACTTGCACAAAAAAGTTTTTCCCGACAAATTTAAGGACGGAAAATTGACTTGGTGAAATAAAAACACTTTGTAGCTTACGTAACACTATTTTTAACATGTGGCAGACTGGGCTATTGTGAGGGACTTTTGTCTCGGAATTACGAGTTTAAGTCCTGCCCATCACTAATATTTTCAGCCACATGATAAAACTTGATAGTATGTTTTGAATACTTAAGCTTTTGCCTATTCTTCTCTATAACATAAATATTCCCTAAAAGGGAAACACTCTAATAAATAAATGTAGGTTTTTCAGGAGTAGAGAGCAAACAACTGTATTTTAAAACTTCCTGTGTAAAATTCTGAAATAATTAACATAAATACATTTACTTTTTTGTAATTATGAACCTAATGATTAAGCTTAATTTCTTCAAGAATTGGAAGAAGGTAATTTAGCGGGTTGCTTTGGGCTGATTATAAAACTTTGGAAATTACGTAGTTTACATTTAAATGGCTTGGTAAAGTTGTAAAACTGAATTAACTTTCATCTTCTACAGCAATGAGTGGGTGGAAAATCCGTTTAACTTTGGGAAATAAACTTCTGAGTGCCTTACAATTTCATTTTTAACGAGTATTCCACTAATATTCTTTGTAGGTTGGAATCGAAACCATGTTATAACCAGTTTTATGTGGCATGAAACCAAGTTAGTACATTTAACAAATTATATTCACAATAATGTCGGAATTTATAGTTGCTAACATTGATATCCTAATTTAATGGTAAAAGTTTTCAAAAACGATGATAATTATTACGTATTATATTACACAGTTTTAAATACAGTTTTTTTTTAGCTAAATATTTGATTGTGCTAACTAAAGTAAGGACTTTTACAATTTGTGAGTTTAGGGTGTAAAACCGTTTTCAGATGGATTGTGAAACCCACGCTTGAATGAAGAATGAAAAAATCCTACTGAACTTGGATTTTTACGCCACAAAAATAAATAAAGTAAACAATGTCTTGTTTTTTAAGAATATATAATTTTCCAGTAATCATTGTGAGCTCAATAAACCAAATATCACCATTTTTTTTATTGTTTCTGTGTAGGCAATCTTAAGCCGGGTTTACACTAGCAAAACCTGCTATAAGGCATATTTGTGTAACATCTAGCAATGTTATATAAAATTTGCTAAGAGAAGAAACAGTTACTTTTCAAAAGTGTTATAGAACACTTCTATATGCAGCAGATCCTGCTTTAGAAGCGATAATTTAACATTTATTTGACTCGTCCAAAAGGTGAAATTATTTTGAAATTAATGTTAAGCAAAAGATTGCGTTGTTAAATGCATGTAATTTAATGCATTTAACTATTTCCTATTTCCTACATTTCCTATTTTCCAATATGGTGGATTTTGTCCATGTGGGAAAATGTTTGATATTAAATAGAAAAATATGAAAATATCTCGTATTTCCTATTTTCCAATATGGTGGATTTTGTCCATGTGGGAAAATGTTTGATATGAAATAGAAAAATATGAAAATATCTCGTATTTCCTTACAAAATATCAGTTTCGAATTGGATTTTCGACAGTTACAAACTCAGTATGGCCTCTTATTTTGGTGTAATTACGTTGAAATGTTATGGTGTAATAATCCAAAAACTATTTTACCTTTCTATATGATACGGGCCTGACACAATGTAGTTTTAAGGCTTGCATTATTCTACACCTTTCCCGCTATTTTTCAAGATGTCAGGTGTTGCCCAAGTAGGAAAACCTTGCAAATCTCATAAAATTTTCAGGGACATGTGCCAAACACGTTCCAGTCGGTTTCGATCGTGGCCTAATTTAGTCTAGGTCGAACCCTAAGTCCTAGACCATGTTCAGAGTCAAAGACTAACTTGTCTACTTTAAATATGAATGCGTTAAGATTTATCAATTGGCTCACCGATTATACCAATCAACCTAATCTTAACTGTTCTGTTATTTCTGGCTAGTTCTAATAAGATAATTTATAGATGTTTTCCATAAAAATTATAATCTTTTACACAAACAAACTAAATGAGTCAATGATTACACATATTGTGTTATACATTACGACCCAGATAAGAGTGTGAAAGAGATAAGTTAAGGCATGAGAGGTTAGATGAGGGATAATTAAGAAGACACACACTTGTGTTAATCACCTCGCCATCATTAAGGCATGGCTTGGTCATGGGGATACTCGAGCTGCAGGTAACTGACAGTCTCCTCTCCCCACACTCACTGTACCTCCCTCTGTGATCAATAATTGAAACTGTTGCATTGCTCTTGATCTCCCCTCCCCTCCCTCTACAGTCTCAAGGTCAACGAGAAACAACAGATTTTATAGGCAATGGGTTGTTTTTTCCATGTATGTGCGTGCATGCACGTTTGACTCAAGGGATGGGGATTTCTTGTGAATGTGGATATTTTTTTATCATACTGTATAGTATTTGTTCGATAAATTGTGTTTTACATATTTGTTGGCTTTGTCGTTCTTGGTATGTTTTGCATTTTTTAAATTTTTTTAGCGCATTTCCTATTTAGGAAAGAATATATTACAGTAGGTATTGTGGTAAGACATACACCCGTGCTAATTTACCTTTCTTTTTTATGTCCTCATTGGTCAAAAACCACCGTCCGGTAAAAATCACGTATATTTAAATATGCGTCCATTAGCGCTATAACTATAGTCAGATTTTGATGAGATTTGAATTTTGAATTTTATTTCTACGAGTTATAAAGGGTTATCATAACGCTATAAAACTACTTAAACTATATGGCGACAAACAAAATAAAGGCCAAATATCATTAAATGTAGTAACATATGGAAGATAATTTCTCATGAAAACCACAATAAGGTACTCTCAACTACCTGTTTATTGTAGGTTTGTACATAAACTGCATGATTTCACAAGTAAATTACTTATTGTTAGTTTATTATATATGGAAACCTAAATTTTGCGTGATGCAGTTAACAAGTCGTATACAAAATCGTAATTGACTAACAAATTATTCAGTAGGGTCATAAACTTATAAATTAACAATGGGCATCGATAAAAGTTTATCATTGTAATGATAAGACATTTACATAAGACGTGATAAGACGATCATATATTCAGGATATCTTCTGGAACAAGTCCATAACTGAGTTTGCTCTTTCCTCTCTACAATGTATTCAGCATAGTGCTGGTCTCTGTTATGTTTGTGCTGAATTACTACTTTGCATTGGGGACAAGCATGTTACATAACATATTCAATGTATTTGAATACAGCTTGGTGTAGCTTCAAACTCATGCATATATTAATTTAATTTTTCTAATGGGTTAGCTTTAGAAGAAACAACTAAAATAGCTGTAACAATTTCAAAATAATATTGATAAAGGAATCCTAAGGGTATCATTTTAATGATTTAGATACACATGAAGCTTAGTATCATCAATGACAATCAATCATCAATGTTTTATCATCAATGACCTAATAGAAATAATTTATACACATTTTTGGCTTATAAGATGATTAATTATTTTCACTTTTCTCCCTTATCTTAGTAAAATTAGAAACTGTGCGTCACACTTGCTCATCAATTACATTAAATGTATCAAATTTTGATAGGGGTTAACATTTGAAAATTTGTGTTGGTCCCAAAATACTCCGTTTTGGGGGCCGGAAAAAACAAGAATCTGTGAATGTGACAAAAAAGTACATTTTTAATGCTGTAAACATTTGCTGAGTTTGGGTTTCCTACTTCAACGCGTTAAAAAGTTAATTGGGGGTGTCCAGACTTTTGCCTAACTTTGTATAAATGTATATGCACTTACACTATAAAAAATTTAAAATTCATTTCAAACTGTAATGGCGTTATTAAAGTTGGATCCTTATGAACAGACCAGAAGTAAGTGCTGTAAGTATTTATTAAATGCCGCGTTACAAAAAACAAATATTTAGGGGGTTTTAGAACAACATGATTTTAAAGAACGATTGAATTTCAGCCAGATTTCAAATTTATTCCGGGGTTATAAGCCTTTTTATTGTGAATGCAGTCAGAATCCCCCCAAGCACTTAAATCCTGTTGCTGCCTATTGAGATCGATTATTAAGGTGCACTCGACTCAGCAACGTGATTATCCTATATACCATGCTCTACTTCCCACTTGACATTCTAAAGTAAAA